TTCAAGGACTTACCATGAGCCCCACAGAAGCTTCTGTTGAATCCTTGAGCGTTGATGTGGCTGATGTTTTTAGCATCTGTCCCATGAAACAGTTGTCTTTCACTACTTCCTCCCGTGTCTTTATCCATTTTCTGTTTTCTTACCATGTAAGACTGATATAGATGAGGATTCTGTACTCGTTCAATCTTATGAACATTTACCCCACCGACTGTGGCTTGAAACTGACGTAGGACATCTTGATACTCATGAGATCCTGGGAGAAGTTGTACTTTGTGCACAGTAGAGTCATGGCCGGGCATTGGTGCCCAGTGCTTTGGTAGAGCAATTCCTACAGCTACAGAAAGGACCAAAGGATTAGAATGTTGAAGTGGAAAACTATCAACTGAAGTTAAATTTCAACTTCCAAATATATTTTTCAGGTAAGAAAATAGTTCTCAATGAAAATACATAGAGGATCGACAGGAAAGCTGGAGAGACATCGTTTTGGAGATGTATAGCAACTAACCTTCGTCAGCACCCTTCACCTTTCTCGTCAGTGTTATTTGTTCACCAGACGTTTGTCCACATCCAGAGTTTCTCTTCAAATCGATGACAAACTTGTCTCCACGTAAAGGAACTTGCACATTGTGCTCATCTTTGCTGTAGGCCAACTCAATCTTAGCATTTGCTTTCGGCGCAAATGCCATTTTCGTGCCATGTAATTCATAGCTCCACTCTACGTTCTTTGAAACCAACTTCGCTTGTTCTTCTTCTTGCTTGTTCTTGGTCCTCTCGTTGATCTCTTTCCAGATCTCCCCGACCATTCCAGACACTTCGGTTGGTTCACCACGGACGACAATGCGATCCACGTCATCCTCAATTTCAAGTCTGACGTCACGGCCTTTCGCTTTTTTTCTCAGGATATCTTTCTGTTTATCGGAAAGCTGACTGACGACTTCACTTTCAACTTTTTCCATTGTACAAGCGTCATAGAAACCTTTCTTCAAGGATTCCTCGGCTTTTCCCACGCTGAACTCGTCTTTGCCAATCAAAGAAATTATTACAGAGTGTTCATAATCTTGGGCTGGTGCCTGCCTACGACCGATTCTTCCGGTTGGCCAAGCTGCTACATTCTCCGTGTCACTGTCTTTTTCTTCTATATCTTGCACTAGTTGTTTCTTCGGTTCTTGTAGAAACTCCTGCATCATAGAGGCCTGGAACACAATCACCCTCACCCTTTGAATATTTTTACAGCGGGCACTGAATATGTTTAGTGCTTTGAACGTCAGTTGGGCTGAGTCCGCTCCAGTCAGGCCGTATCCATCGGTGCCAACACATGGAATTGATATTGATTGAAGCCCATGTGCGTCTGCAACACGAAGACCCTCCTCCAAACATTGCTGGAGATGTTGCTTATCTGAAGAGCCTGGGATAATGTGAATAATATAGGGTACATGTAAGTTGCCTCCACTGGTCATTACCGCTGTTCCAGGAGATTGCTTTCCAAGTTGGTCGCACTCTTGTTGCACTTGTGTACCACTTGCGTTTGCTACGGCTGCACCCAGTTGTCCAGCATTGGTCATTTTCATATCAGTGCTTATAATATTCATGATAGCATCAGTGCTATTCTCCTTAGTCAAATCATCATTTATCACCTCAACGGTGAAAGGGCTAGTAAAGGTCATGCGCTGAGCCATGCCTACTTGTGGAGAAAACGAGTGCCTCTGATATTCTTGCTGGAAGGCCGACACCATTGGAGGTTCGAAGATCACAATCCTGACCTTACAAACAGAACGGAAGCTTCCACTGAAGTTTGTCAGCGCTTTAAATATCAGACTGGCTGAGTCCCTTGCAGAAACATGGAATGCTCCGGTACCAACTGCGGGGATAGAAATGGATTTAAGACCATGCGACTCTGCCAGCTGAAGACATTTCTCTACACACTGCTGAAGATGGTCTTTATTATTGGTGTCCGGAATTAAATGAAGTATGTTCGGTGCATGTAGGTTCCCACCACTGGTGATCAAAACAATTCCACCCGATTGCTGTCCGAACTGATTTAACTCATCCTGTATCTGTTGACCACCGCGCCGTTTTACTTCCTTACTCAACTTTCCTGCACTGTCCATATTCAAGTCTTTACTTGTTATATTCACAATGGCGTCGGTTTTCTCCTGGCACAAGTTGCCTTGCAATACTTCAATGCTAACACCCGACGTCCCCACTGCTTTCTTTCCACCAAAGAAGGAACGTATTCCCGTTGCAAAAGTCGTGATGGCGGAGTGGCCAATATGCTTGGGTTGCAGTTTGTCCATCTCTTGTTTGAAGGCAGCAGTTAATGCTTGATCTTGGTTAAACACGACAAATCGGATGTCCCGTAAATTAGAAGCAGGGTTAGTTTGGCAGAAATTGATCGTTTCTTCCAACATGATTCTCGAGGCTGTATCGCGTGGGAAGTGTAAGTTCCCAGTTCCAATGACGGGAAACGCAATGGAATTCGCTCCAAGCGTTTCGCCTGTTTGCAAACACTTTTGAACGATGGCCCGCAGCGTCTACAAAAGATGAAATAGACGTTGTTGAATAAATAATGTGGTGGCAAGAGGGGATCTAGTAAATCCTGTCACTCCCACACGATCTCAATAGTAACTCTCCACACTGTCCTCTGTACACTTCTCATAAATTTGACCGTCAGAATTTGGCGTTAAGTCCTGCGATATTCCGCCTAGTTTATATTTTGTCCTCTCTTCCCATCACCTTTCTGGGTGATGATGCATTAATAATGAAAGGAAAAAACACTCAATGGTCACTCGAGAGTGAAAAGGTTAAAAAACTGTATCCCTCTCGAGCTACTCTTAGACTCCACGGCCCAGTTGTATAAAGGACAGATAACACTATCTAACGGATAAATTGAAGGCAAAACGTGCTGTGCCATCCCCTGGATAAAGATTTATCCAGTGGATAGCCGGCGTTATCCAACCTTCGAACAACCGGGGCCGGGAATCTGTTATCCGGAAATCAAAGTTATATCAGCACTGAATTTTAGTAAAATTCCAGAGAATAATAAGAGAGTGCCGTGTAGGATGTTCACACTCGTAGTATTTCCTTTTAGGATCACGATCAAGAATGTTTGGATTCAAACCTCACGGCATTAACCTTTGGAATAGGGCCTATAACTTATTCTTTTTTTCAATTTGATTTTTTCTTGTGAGATTTATGCTCTTACTAATTCTACAAAATTTCTAACCAATATTCACATATATTTGATATTAGGAATTAAAAGTTACTGTAACTATGCAAAACTCCTGTCGTTACATTTGACTGATTATTCTCGAAGAACTCGTTGAGGAGTGAGGCTTTCCGCGTTAGATTGCTTTGGCGTTATAAACCGAACAGAACGTTTGAGGATAAGCTACATCGGAAAGAAAATTACATCAAGCCTGAATGGTCATTGGTTGCTTTATCCTATAAGAGAATGGATTGGCTTCGCCATTTGGGCTTGCATCAACTTAAAAGAAAAGTACTCTTCAATTCATTTTAAAGAGGTCCTTTCACTCGAAAGTGAACTCATACTTATCTACGTAATTGGTAACATTTAGGAATGACACTTCATTGTTTCTTACCGGCTCCCCTCCACCGCTGTTCCACTTACAGCAGTTAGTGTGAATCACGTGACTGACCGAGGAAAAACCACCTGAGACAGTAATGTCACCAACGTTGGGAGTCGCGGCCTGAGGACCACCGGC